TAAACTCGGATGGCCATGGCTCGAAAAGGGGCACAACTCGTTACGTAACCCTGGAGGACCGGTTAGAGCCTCTAGGAAAGAGAGTTGCGCCCAAAGCCCATTGTTGCCTCCAACTGCGCGGCGGCCTGGTCCGTGGCGGCAACAACAACAACAACGACAACAACGACAACAACGACAACAACGACAACAACGACAACAACGACGACAACAACAACAACAACAACAACAACAACAACAATCACAATCACAATCACAATCACAATCACAATCACAATCACAACCACAACCACAACCACAACCACAACTACCATCACAATCATCACAACCACAACTACAATACAACCCTGAACAACCCATGCCGACTGTCAGAGCTTCAACTGCCGAAAATCTACCGGCAAATCATGCCTAGTTTTTCCGAATCCATGGAGGAGAAGACGAACACAACTCCTGCAAATGACGCCCCGGAAGTGACGCTGCAGGGGAAACTACCAAGTTTCTCCCATATTCGACACCCAGAAGCGATGCTACGATCCCTTAACCCTACAATCTGCGATCGTCAGCTTTCTGACATCCACGTTTTACTCACAAGCACGCGGCAAGTTAAAAGGTCTGCTGTCGCGGGAGCTCTTAAACATGGTTGGGGCCCTGATGGCCCACCTTGGCCAACAGCACTGCTCACGTACCAAGGCCACGAATTGGCTTTGCCTGTCATAAGCACTCTCCCTTTCCTTTCGGGGGGACGAATTTCAGCGGGCATCCGAAGAGTCATCGCTGCCTATGCCTCCTTAGCCAAGAGCTGCCCCTCAAGAAAACTGGCGCGGCGCGCGTCTTACACTACAAACCATGCCGCATTGGACGACAGCTGTAGGGTCCAGGAAGCATCTGTATCACACACCAATTTTTATGATGACCTGCATTCAAGTTGAGTTCTCTTGCGCTGCAGGACATGCAGCAAACTATACTAGCGGCTCACATGCTGCCGACATCTTCCGATCCTATCTGTAAGCCATCCTTTTCGGAAGCCCCGCACTGGACCTAATCCTCGAAGATGCTTTGTAAGTCCGGGTCAAGGACCTTTTCCGTGGCCGCCGTTCTCACCGCGGCTGGGGGTGCTTTATCCGGCGTCATGGGCGCCGCCTCCCCTGCCGCTGCCGGCGCCAGCACGCGCGCCGAGGCTGGTGGCGGGACGCCGACGGACTGGCTGGGCCTGGAAAAGGCGAGTCTGGAGTCTGAAACTCATGCCAAAACCTCCCCAACTCATCGGCTTGGGACCTGAAGCTGGGCTTCTGAGTCACCACTTCCGCAGCATTGGGTGGCACTTCGAGCCTCGCTCACTCAGAAAGGGAGCATGCGAACAAGGCTTGTCGTACAAGTAGTGGTTTCGACTGGTCTTCTCGGATTTCTGAACGAGTGAAGAACATGATTTGGCACATGTCATGCGGCTTTTCGAGGAAGGGTCACCCATGGGCCGGTCGGCGCTCGAGTGCTGAAGTGCCGCGGGCAAGGCCCTGTGCACCCCATTCGCCCCTTAACACTCGAATGAAGTCAGTTTCGCTAGTTTGGGAATAAGAGACCAAGATGAACTGTTTCGGCTCCCAAAAAGTAAATGGATCTTTCTCCTTCTTGCTTGCTTGCTTGCCAGGGGTGTGGGAACCCCAAGGCACCCTGGCCCGCGGACCAACCCCCACAGCTCCCCACTCTCTCTCCGGGCAGAAAAAAAAGGGGCGTCCCAAGCCTCCCTGTTGTCGGGGTCCAGCAAAGATATTCTTCTTCTGCTCTTGGGGAGCTGATCAGGTGTCCCGGGCCGCAAGCCCGACGTAACGCGCTCATGCAGCGAATCCCGTGTTCATGTAACTGTAGGATATCGTCCATTTAGACCATGTGGTCTTCTACCATAGAATACCAATCAGAAGTTCCATGACAATGCCAGTTCTACAGCAAGAACACAACCAAGAATCCTGGGACAATTTGAAACTCGCCCCTTCACAATGCCACAAGGAATGGCAATTTAGCCCGAAGAGCCCAGTAGATCAAAGACATCTTCGCTTAACAGGCTGTCGCGCAACTCAATTTATATAATGTCCAGAATCTCCCGACCTCATCTGCATCAACGCACGCACAGCCCGAGCAATCGCTGGGAAGTGTATGTAGTATGACCCCCTGATTCTCCCTCGCTCATCTCTCCAATGAAGGATTGCGAGGGGCTGCGAAGCTCCAGTCTTTGGGTTCCAGTAGTACGTGGCGCCGTTGCTTCGAGACCTGCGGTGCGGGCGGCAGATTTTGGGGAGTGCATTGAAAACCATCGGCCCAGGCCAACGGTGGTTAAACCGAGCTTTCTCTCTGAGGCCACCGACTTCATCTTCACCCAGCCATCCGGGAAGTCGAAGGAGGCCTGCCCAGTTTTGATGTGGACCTGGAGAATCCAAGCCGAATTCGAGCCAGATTCAAAGGCTAACGGTGCATAAGGCGCGGCGTGCGAAACACCAACAGGCGCGGAGGTAAGGCGGGGGCGAAGTACACTCCGCTGCCACCTCGGAGGCAGCTGGTCTCGGTGAGGTGGCAATGCTTGCGCGCTTGCGGGATTTGGAACAAACGTCTTCTGGTCAGAGGCTTGGAAAAAACGATTGAACTGTGAACCCGGGCTAGTTGGACCCGTGAGCTCATGCCTTTGTCCTCTGCCTGGGAGTCTCAGCATCGAGTGCCTGGCTTTTCCTCCGGACCCGGATCCAGTTCGGCCTCGGCGTGTAAGATCGGCCTCCTTGCTCAGATGATGGACATACTTATATACAAACAGAAACACAAACGTATGTGTGTATATATGTAGTATGTGTATAGGATAGAATCGCAAATATAAATTTACATATATATATATATATAAGTGTTCCTCAGCTCAGACGGTGCTGAGTGTCTCCAACCCCAAACCGTCTGAGGCTCTGTCGGCAGGGGTGTCATGCCGGCAAACTGTGCCTGCACAGGCCAGATTCTAGATTCATGGTGCTTAGCTGAGAGACTTGGGAGAAAGTCTCCCCCCAAGACTCCAGGAAGCTCGGAAAACCGGCCAATCTGGGCACCTGATTCTCTGCCCACTGCATCACCGTCTTTGGCCCGTCGCCCAAACGCTGAGCCTCCCAGTGAGCAGCCCAGGTGTCGATGCGGAGAAGGCAAAGCTACGCGTCTAAAGCTACGCATCTATCCGTACAGTACAGACAGAAATCTTTGGTTGTAGACCCCTGCTTCGTGAACGTAAACTTGTCGAGGCCCAGGAGTTGTTCAAAGACCTGCAACCCTCAAAACCCCAGATGCACCCGAAGCCATCCAGGAACACGTATGATGCATGCGCACTTACACACACACACACACACACAGACGGACATCCATCCCTCCTTCCGCCCGTCCACGCACGCCCGCCCGCCCGCCGGCAGGCATGCAGGCATGCATGCACACACACGCCATTCCATCTCGGTTCCAGATACAGCATCTTTGCGCAGACGCTTCTCGTATTCGGAAGGAATCAACGGCGATTCTCTTGTGAATCTCTACAATGTCCGAAAGGACTCAATTGGTTTATTGCTTTTGAGGAATCGCTAGGAATCTCCGCAAATTTATCAACCTCGCCCTCTCACAATCATCATCACTTCTTACCGCCCTTGTTCTTCGGTGCCAAGTGTGATTACCCTCGCACACTCACTCAATTGTCACAAAATAGCAGAAATAAGCCCTAAATGTATAAAATGGGTACAATTCTTCGAGAGCTCTCGTCGGATTGAGCTGTGGGCTTCGGGCTTTGGAAGTCTGCGGCCGATTGCCTTCATGGGCGCTTCTGCCTGCGAAGGCGGAGCGCTGCGTTCAGGAGTCTGTCCTGTCAGCAGGGCTCCCAACATGAAGGCGCCACTGGGGTGCGGACGTCTTACGTCGGCATCATCATCAGTGTTGTATTTGCACGACGGGAGCACAAGTTCGATACACTAAGCACAGTAGTCGACCAAACAGAAAGAAGAGAGACCATCTACCGTGGGGGGGGGAGGCCAAAGCTGGGATGACCCGCGCGAATCCCTGCGGGACTTCGGCTTGTCTCCGAGGGGACCTGTCTCGGCTCGCCCTACGTCGCCCTGGGCCGACCAAAGCACCAAGCCTTGCCTCTGACTCTACTGCCGCCCTGGCCCCCCCCCCCCGGGCCCGCCCCCCACGATGTGCGAGTCATGTTGCATGTTGCTGTTCCAATAAAAGAATGCTATGCTTGGTCGGTGCAGGATGGCGGAGCAGGATCTCCTTCCTGCATGCGACATGAAACACAAAGCTGCTAGATGCATCTGTCAGAGGTGCCTTCAAGAACTGACTGTCGATGCCGTTCCTCTTCTTTTCGACAAGCCGACTGGCAAAAGCAATGGACGATAACTTGGCACCTGCCGAACATTGTCTGTCGTAGTTTTCAACCTTCTGTTGCGAGAACCCATGCATTTGCATGACAAACGCTCAGCCCGTCAAGCATCCCCTTGATGAAGACCCTGAGTGAACCAAGAGCGTCCTTGAGGCTTGCTGCTGGTGCTGGTTGCGGTACCAGCCGTCTCCTCGCGAAGGGCCGGGGATGCTTGAGGTGAGATCCTGCGAGGCTGCGAGGGGTGGAGTCCATGATTCAACCATCATTCCAATCCCAAGCCCTCCTTTTCCCCAAAAACAGAAGCACAAAAAATAGCCTTTTGACCTTTCTCCGGACTGGGACATACCGCACAAGACGAGGCAGCGCAAGCTCGAAGCTGGCAAGATCTGAAGTACTTGAAGATCTCAGGAGTGGCGTACGCCCATTAACAGCTTGAAGCCACGCTTACCCCTCCCCCCCCAACCAGCTTGGAGTCATGTGGTGGATCCGGGAATTCTCTACCGCACGCCAGTGATCATCAAAGTTGCCACAAGAACCGGGAAGAAGGCCCAGCCCCTGCCCGTTCGCACCCGCAGCAGGCTCGCGAACTCCGAAGGCGGTCCAAAGTCTTTCTCTTTCTCTTTGGCCTGGCGATCGCGAAGAGGCTGGAAAGCTCTAAGACAGCTTAGGGCCCCTTGTGCATGGCATCACCTTTCTGCTCTTTCCTCCCCTCCCCTCCGAATAAGAAAATCCAGGCGAAAGCTCAGTGTAGGGCCCCCTTTGGGAAGGAACTCCCCTTTTTTGCTCTGCTTCCTCACCCTCCTTTCGGGCGCTTGACATCCGGAAGCGGGTGTCGGGCCTTCGGGGGCTTCTCCTTCTCAGCGGCCGCGAGCCGCGTCTCTTCCAACTCGGAGAAGCCAGCGGGGGGCTTGGGGGCACATCCAACTTTTTCCACTCTGAAGCAGAAGACAGGCGTGGCTGCTTAAAACCCCGCACTCTTAGACTACGGAGGGGCTCAGGGTGGGCCAAAGGATCTGAAATCAGGAAACACTCCCGGCCTGTTTCAAGGCCGTCTCAAAGCCCAGTCGGAACATCTCCTGCCATCACGGCTAAGACGTTGCAGAAAGAAAGGGCTGGACAGGCTGGTGCAACAAAGAATCTGCACCATCTTCAGCAGCTTTCTCCACAGAATGCCATCAACTGTTGCTGCTGCAACCATGTGTCTTACGATGTGTCGTGGCTCGTGTCGCTATGATGTGCCGCAAATGGTAAGGCTCGGCTGAAAGTCGTTAATTCAATGGTGGGCCAATGCATAAACTTCGTGCACAGCGTTAGCTTCTCTCTTCTGCCAGACAATGCTGCCGTAATAAGCAACCCGAAATGTTCATTCGAGCAGATTCTATGTCATAGCTTGGGCCATAGCCATGACAGCACCAGGCCATAACAACCACGACCAAGTCAACATGCCCATGTCCTTGCTTTCGGTGACCAGCCGACGCTTGGATTCAGAGCGCCTGATAGCAGGGACTCGGACCCAAGCAGTCCCCCCGCAAGTCTAGAACAAATGCAGCAGAGGAGGTGGCACTCAGTTGCCGTCACGCTCCCACCCCCCGAAAAAAAAATAAATAAAACAAACATGAAAGAAACACGCGAAATCTCCTGACATCCGGGCCTGGTCTCCGAATCCTCGGAGCTGTCCAGGCGCCTGACTGTGGTGTCTAGCGCAGGCGCCACGATCAAGCGTCTTTCCCACTGCATGCCAAGATCCCGCCCTTTGGTGAACTGCTCTATTGACGGCTCAAGTACCGGCTATCGGCACGCGAGCCCTCGATTGGTCTCGCCGCCGGCCTCTTCCGCTTCGGGGTTCGCGGTTTCTGCGCCTGCGTGCCCCAAACCGGGCCATTAGCCGAACAGCCGAGGACATGACGCATGACGACACAAGTACGAAAGTTTGCACGCAGTCGAATTGCGGCAGCCCCAACGACCAGGCCTTGTAGCGCAGCATCATGTGCGGAAACCAGCTTGTCTTGCAAACAGCTACGTACTACGTACCGGAAGAATTCTAGAATCTGCTCCAAGCCAGGCATCAGAGAACCACCGTCGTCACCAAACGCCAGTTAGCAGCATCATCATGACTCATGACCGTCATAGGACGAGAAGTAGTAGGCTAGAACTGAAGAGGCTGTAAGCGGCATAGCGGCTCGCCGCGCCTCCGGCAGAAGAGCCTGAACTTGGCTCAGCAGCGTCTCGCCTTCCTGCAAGGCAGCGCAAGGCAGCGAAGGGCCATAGGGCCATAGCGCCACACGTCACAAAATCGAGGCCGGGAGGGGGCGGCATCCTTAGAAGGATCCAAACACTGAAAGAAGGATGTTGGAAATCTCCCAGACTCCAAGATAGAGATCAGAGCTTTCCAAGCTTATCGGATGGGAACACCCCCTGCTCTCGGTGAACCCTTCCTTTCAATTGGAGGAGGAGGAGCTGCAAAGCTTAAGCGGTTCAATGCGCCCACCTGAGTCCCCACCTGCTCCGGCTCAGCTGGAGCTGCCTCATGAGAGGATTTTGGTCTTGCACAGATCGAAAATCCAGCTGTAGTAGTACCCGTACGAGTGCCAATAGTACTAGCAGCACTGGCAGTACGAGCCGCAGCAGCAGCAGCAGCAGCAGCAGCAGCAGCAGCAGCAGCAGCAGCAGCAATCTGGGACAAAACCTTGGCAGGAGCCCAAACAGCCCGAAGTTGCCTCAGCAGAACCTCGACCAGCCCTTCCCGACCCGCGGTAACTCTGTCGCAATGCCGCGCCCTACCGGGCAAGGCATCTTGCCAATTCCATTCGCGATTGTTTGCAACCCTTTCCATCCAAGCCCTGCCGCGAAAATGAACATCGAGCACGCACAAAACCCTCCCTTGCCCGAGCTCGCGGGCTTGTGGTGCCTCTTGCGGCTTCTGCGCCGGCTCCGCAGGCGGCGCCGGCTGTTCAAGACGAGATTGTGGGAGGTTGCAGGGCTGGAAAAATCCCAATCTTTGCTTTGCGACCTGGCCTGGTCAGCAGACCAGATCTGCTGGTCGAGCTTGCTGAGCTCAGAATTCACGAGGGTCAGTGCCTCCTTGACCTCCACAAGCAGGCTTGTCGAAGCTGTATGCGCAGCAATGCAGGCAGTGGTGGAAATGGTGGTGGCGTACTGTCAACTGCCGTTGGCTCATGGCCTTCCAACACCTCGGCCTACGTGAGGTCCGACAATTCGGCTTTTCAGTAGACTTGAGGGGTCGCATCAAACTGCAAGAGCTGCCTTTGGAGGAGTCGCCGGTCCAATCGCCACCTGAAAGCACAGCAAGCGGTATCTCTCCCCCGCCATGACCCAAGAGGATCCTACGCTTCATCCCGGTGTCTCGGATTCTTTGCTGCTGGTGCTGACCTTCTGCCGGCTGGAGTCGACCATAATGGGAATCCCGGTCCTTACTCGAGAAAGGACAGGACAGGAAGACGTCCCCACACATGACAGACATGACAATGTCGCATTGCCAGCATCACTGCCGAATGACGGCAGGCTTTGTGCTGTGGGTTCGCGAGGTACCAGGCTCGGGCGCCGCAAATTCACCGATACAGACTCTATCAGAAACGCCTGCCTAGAAAAAACTGGCTGAAATATATTCCCTTCATCTGACCCATAGGCGCATTGCATGCAGGCCTCTAACAAACATGTCGGGATGGGTTCTGCACACACATCGATGCATGCTTCCACTCCATGACCGCAAGGATTTGAAAAAGGAATCTGACATTGTGGCCACGACAACTTCGCAAGTCTGCCATATCTCTCACCTTAAACCTCTACACCAAATCTGATCAGGCATGACATGAGGGCAAATGAGCGCCGCACTTCTCCTCCAACTCTTTCTCCCACTCGGGCTGTTTACTCAGTCTTTCGACAATCTCCTGTGTGATGACGACCTGCTGCTGGGTCCGGCTCAGGCCACGGTTTTCGAAAAAGGTTATAGTTATCGGCTAAGTTATAGGGTCGTGAGCTTAAGGGTCCGGTCAACAGTAGAACACTGGCCGTCGTGGTGCAGACAATGCTGCTATGGCTGCTATGGTGCACATCACCTCAACAAGCCGCAACGACTTATGAAGTCGAAATTCCGAAGGAGCGCCATGAGAAGCTGGTACGCCTCGGTGGAGATCTCGACATGTGGACTCCATTCACCAGTAAACCTCGGCACTCAGGGGCCGCCGATACTTTGCCGCAAACGTCGTTTTGGCCAAGACGCCCAAGCTCGGCAGCCTTGAAGGTGCGGATGGACTCCTGCCATGAAGCCCGAGGCAAGTTGACCTCCCTGGCTCTCCCTAAGCGATGCAAGGCATTCCGCGGCGTTCTGCTGCCTCGCCGTCGTTGAAGACCGTCATCAAGGTTTTCCTGGGGATCCCAACACGGCTACATCATTCCGCATCGCAGTGAAGTTGCAAACACAGGTCATCGTGCGAGGAACTCGTCGCAGAGCCAGAACTCGTCGATCTCGCTGAAGCAGTTGTCCACCCAGCCTTTCCTCGACAATGACTGTCTCAAAACACCGTGCAATCCCAAAGCCTGCACCACCTTCCATTCCCATTAGCCTCGTACCTTCGGGTAATTACTCGCTATACCCATACCTCTACCGGCGCTTGCGAAAGGGCCTGTCTCCATCAAAGACGACGACCATGCCCCTTTCCACCTCACGCGGCGTCGCCCGGAGCCCCCTAGCCCTCTAGCCCTTAGGCCGTTAGCGACTCAGATGTGATAAAGCTTACAGACAGCAGCAACCTCTCTCCCTCAGTTTCGACTCGGACTTCCATCACAAGAACCGAAACAGGGGCATCGGTCCTGGCGAAGGATTACCTTAGGAAGCTCCCGCCCTAGTCGACATGGCCGGCAAGGCCAGGCCTCGGAGGCTGCGAGGAGCGTCGTCTCCAGCTTCTTCCCGTCCACAGCACTCCCTGTGCGAAGTTCACAACAAACTTGCTGCTGCTTGCGAAATTTTGCCTGCGCAGCCTGCAACCTACCCAAAGAAACAAAGGTGATGCAGCCGGGGCTTGAGCAGTGCTGAGCCTTTCATGTTCCGGCGACATCTCGTTATGCGGGTGTGTTGACTATGAGAGCTTCAGAAAACAGAGGGCCCGTTCATAACCTCTGCGTAGTAGGATCCTTATCATTATCAGAAGGAGCCACAACTACGCCCTTGGCCCTCAGCCATATGCCATATGCGAAACCGCTTGCACTTGCTGCCCAAGGGCTCGCGACGCCGGCGCCGTGGGAGTTCGGAGGCCTCGGCTTTTGTAGGGGCTGGGGAAGTGTTTGTTGGAGTGGAGAAGAAATGAGGGTTAGAAGTTAGAAGCCGGGATGCGGCCAGATGCAGATGTGCGCTGAGGCAGCGGCGTGGTAAGCCGCGGCTCCACGACGCGAGGAATCCCTTGGGGCGGGCAGAGCCCGAGCGACGACATGATTCGGCTCAGGAGGGGAGGGTCACTGCCGGGCACTGAGCTTGTCAGCCTGCCTCAGTTCCCTCTCTTTGCCCGGCCTTGGCGCAAGGATGCAGGAAGTTCAGACTTCTCTTCTTTCACCTGGAGGCCATCGCCCTGGCTGGCGGGGCTTTCTCTAAACTCTAAACTCCTGCACGTCCCAGAACGTGCAGCAAACTTTAAGTATAACTGGTCGACACAACGGCAAAGTTGCTCAAGTGGCGCCTATATCTCGGGTTGGGTGCACCCTAAACGAAGCTTCGCGTGTGGGGCTGAAGCAAGGGGCCCCCGAAACCCGAGGCCGCGTGAAGATGAACGCCGGGTAGGCCGGATGCCTGCGTGAAAGTTCCGAAAGACGGCGGCTGAGCCGGCTGAGCCAAAGAGTTCCAGGACCCGTCCTGGAAAGAAAGCCACTCCTAAGACGCGGGTTGCTGACACGACAGTGAACCCTGCCATGCCGAGAGCAGTGGGAGCTCGGAGACTAGAAACCCCTTCCGACCTGCATCCGGTTGTCGGGCGGCCTCCGGCGCGAAAGCAACAAGCACAGAAGCAAACGTTGCCTAGCGAGCAAACACCTCACCCAGGCGTCTTTGCTTCAATTCCCGGAAGGAAAAAGAGGGACATTGAACAAGTTGACCAAGAAAGGCGGACCTCGTGTGACTTCTGTGGCCCCCCCGGCAGTGTGGGTTCTGTGGGCTCAGGGGCACGGAATTACATCGTAGCCTCAGACACGCGAGGGATGCGTGTGCCACACATAATACAGCTTCGCTGTGCCAGTTCTGCGCGAGGTACAACAAGACATGCACCGTCAGCATGTTCTTCAACATGCTCGACGCCGCGTTTAATAGGAAGTCAGTGTTGTCCTTTTTTTGTCGGCATCCACTGCCAAGCACTGCAGCCCCAGGAGAGGGGCGCGTAAGCATCTGAGGAAGTGGAAAGCATCAAGTTGGCATCAAGGAATGAAGTTCATCTGTGTAAGCATGACCTGAAGCTGTGGAATCCATCACGTTCATAGCTGCACGCATATGCAAGAACTCGCACTCTTCCAAGTTTTGTTCCCAGGCCATACACATCCACCCTAATGTAGCATTTCTGCCGGCGCATGTAAACACAGAACAGAGAGACTTCGCAAGGGATCCTTGCAACGGTAGCTTCTTCGCAGTACACATGGACTCAAGTTGCACTTCGGCAGGGCAAACACACACACACACACACACACACACACACACTTAAAACATCTTACAATCCCAGGCGAGCTCCTGAATGGACCCCTGAGTTTCGGGCTGCCATCGGAAATGCGGCGGCGCCCACTGGTGCTGCATCGGGGTGTAAGCCTCCTTCCGCGATGGCTCGTTCGACCCTGGAAGGAGGTCTGAAAGATCTCGATCCGGCAGGTTCAACTATTCGTCTTGCACTGCTTTAGCCGCGAACCACGCCAAGATCCCCATCAAAGTAGCACGATCCTTCGCCTGGGTGTCCTTCCATCTCTCATTAGTTACTCGATTCGTTGCTGGTGTCGAGCGGTTTCTCATGAACTTTCTCAATTGCGCTTCCTCCGAAGCCTCCATCATGTTTCTGACGATGCCTTGGTGCCGTCGTAGCCGTAGTCGCAGTAGTAACTAGGGTAATTAGTACTACTTAGTAAGATCCGTTGTTGTTGGGTAATCCTAGAAATGACCCGACGCACTCTTGAGAACAAGGGTCCTTCTCCGTCCAGCTTGCGTCCTCTTGCCATGATGAGGTCGCGGCCTTCGGCCCAGAGAGTTTCAGCAGAACCCCCGACCTCCAGAGCCTGGAGGATGCACTAGCAGCTAACAGAAAGAGCTTCGACGTACCACATCAAGATGTCACAATCCTCACCGTGATGTTCATGGCCATCCTCTTTGGCCGTGGTGCTGGTGGGAGTTGGAGTCAGCAACAACAACTATTACAACAGCAGCAGCAACCACAACATCAACACTACAATCACAATCGACGTCATCCACATCGTTGTTGCCGCCATTATCCGCCGTCGTCGTCGGAACATCGTCGTCCAGGCTACCAGGCCCAAGACCTCATGACCGGCAACATCTGCGGCACTTTGTCATCACAAGCTGCAGCAACCGCAGCGGGAGTACGCTTGACCACTCACTCCGTGGGGAGTGGCTCGACCTTGACAATTGCAAATGATGAACAAGAGGGGTGACGCACAAGAGCCTCGGAGTAACCTGCACTGGAGGAATGACAGCAAGACCATCGCAAATTACAAGAACCCACAAGAAGAAATTAACCACTTCACAGAATTGTCGCCACTGCGACATATGCACAGGCATATTCATATATACATATAAGTCAAACAAGTGCATGTGACAATGTGACATATTCACACATCGCTCATGCCCCAGTTTTATGCAAAGTGATGCTGGCTGCCAGGGCAGTGGTGAATCTATCGTGAAAACGACAGGACTTTGGACGAAGGTCAACACCATATAGTCAACACAGCACGGGACAAGTAGCCAATGCCTGCCTGATGCTGCCCATAGTTGTCAGGCTCCTGAACGGGCCGTGGCGGCGCAACGCTTCTCCGTGATATTCAGCTGAACACATCTGTAGTCCACCACACTCTCTGAGCATTCCCCATATCCGTCCTAGCCCTAAACCCTAAACCCTTAACCCAGACTTCTGTTGCTTGTTGCCAACGAGGAAGCTGGAGCGTTTACCGAGCGCGAGCGAGTCGGGCGCCCGATTGTGTGCAGAATAGGGTTCAGGGTTTAAGTTAAGGGTTTAGGTTACCCATAATAAGGTATATACCATACTTCCCATAGTTTAGGGTCCTCACGGTAATGCAGGATTTATATCATCTCGTGTTTTATTTTGCCGCGTCGAACACGAAGCTTCTAGTCACTAGTCTAGTCAAGCTGTGGGCTCGGACAATAGATGAAACTCTCAGGCTATTCATGAGAGTCAATGGAATAGGATCATGTACTTTCGCATCAACAGAAAGTAATGATGGTTTTTCGGGGCTGAGGTATCCGAAGCTGGCTAGAGTACAGTCGTCCAGCTGCTGCTACATACAACGCAGGCCCGAATCCATAAAATAATTCAACCGTAAATAAGTACCTACAAAAACGACACTCTTGCACATCATCTGCAAGGTGCCAAAAGTCGATTTTTGCACGTCGCAGACTTACAGGCCTGAAATTGGCACAAATCCACGGCGGCAAAGGCACCAGCTGACAACAACAACAACAACAACAACAACAACAACAACAACAACCACAACCACAAACACAACCACAACCACCACGAAACCACCAGCACCACAACCGTAACCGCAACCAAAACTTGCGGAATAAGTGTGACTTTACTGCCAGATTGGGGAGAGATTCTGGGATGGAACTCTGGGAAAATGCAACGGCGCGACGGCGCGGGTTGGGGTGGGGGTGGGTTGCATCGTCGCCAGACCTCCTGTTTCTTTGCATAGCGCTGGTTGCATGTTTGGCATTTTCGCAAGAGAAACTGGACAAAACGCCATCCACACTTGATTTTGGAGCAATTTCAATTTACGCTTTCGATCTACATATGCACTTGAGTCCATGCTTTTCCCATATTCCTTAATACATAGAAGCAACCAAAGCTCTTCACTTCTGCATGTAACCTCGCAGTCGCCATGGTTCACATCTCTACTCTCCGCCTCTGAAAACGAATCTCTCAAACACTCAACACCTCCATCATCTGTGGAACCAACTGCCGACAAGCCAAGCAGGGCCTCCAGGGAACCTTCGTCGAAGTAGACGACCTCTCGCCCAATGACAAAGGCTTTGAAAGTTTGGGCCACGTGCTCCGAACAATCCTAACGTACATATAATTCCAGGTTTGCAAGGCTGGCTACACGTGAGGCTTACCGCCGTACGAACCCGATGAGCCCAAGC